TTATTTCAATAACTTGTTCTAATGGCTTTAACGTTTTAAATAATTTTTTTGTGACTTTAAAGATTGATATTTTTAATATTTTAATATTTTCAATGGTTTTATAATTCATTTTAATGTTCATTTTGAGAATTTATTAATTTTGAATTGATTTATTTATTTATTAATTATTTATTTATTTAATTGATGTATTTAACAATTATTATTCTGGACTACACTGACAAAAATTTCATTCCATTCTGATGAGTCCGGTTGGTCACCGGACGAAACGCGTCAATGGAAACCATTGACTTTAGGTTACTTTGTTGGTTTATACCAATATATAGGATATCCTAATTTTATGACTAATTTTGAACGAACAATTAGATATGGACGAGGACATAGGTTTTTTAAACATATATAGTTTATATTTTACATATTTTTGCAATATTTTTTACAATTTTATATATATTTTTGCAATGTTTATATATTTTTTTGCAATTTTTTTGCATAATTTTTACAGGTTTTTTCACAATTTTATAGGTTTTATACAATTGTGTATAATTTTGTGTGTACTTTGTACAGATTTTGTATGTGTAGAAAGGGATTTTGAAGATGATGGTTTGGTGTTTTAGACAAAGAGGCTTATGCAAGTGTACATGGTTGAGTCAATTTAAAAAATAAAAATCTAATGTATCCTTAATTAAAATAATAATAATATACATATATATAAAAATTAAAAATCCATCAAAAGTTAGCTGTTGATAGGTTAAGTATTATAAATGCAACATTGTTGCACCAGGAACAGTGAATAACTGTTACCTGAAGACGTTTGTTTAGGCTTGTCATGATGAGAAGGGCTTGGGTGGATTCCTGGGTCAATCTCGTGAAGTCATGAGAAGTTTAAATGAATGTAAAGGTGACAATGCAAGCACCTAAACACAAAAAATTTTACATTGTATATTATACATTGCGACCGAAAAGCTTTCGGAAATTCTCATTTAAAATTCGCGCGCTGTATATTTTTCGATATTTTAAGTTTATGTAGTTTGGCAGCACTGTCCTTAATTACTATGCAAAAAATGAGCGCGATCTGTCAGACAGTTCGTTTACGGCAGCTGTTGAAACCAGTTCACCTCAGTAGTGCGTTGCGAAAAAAACAATGGAAAAAAATATTGAACAAAGAGTTTGCATCAAATTTTGTTTTTCGAACGAAATTTCGTGTGCAGAATCGTTGCGAATGCTACAAAAGGCTTATGGGGAATCAGTTTTATCGAAAACTCAAGTTTATGAGTGGTACAAAGCCTTTCAGGACTGTCGTACGACCGTCGAAGACATGCCGCGTTCTGGACGACCTTCGACCTCTACCACCGACGAAAACATTGAAAAGGCAAAGGAAATCGTGTTCAAAAATCCTCATGTGAGTGTTAGAGAGATAGCACGAGAGCTAGGCATCGGTCGTGAGATGGCTCGTTTGATTTTGGTGGACAATTTGTGTATGCGACGTGTCAACGCCCGGCTTGTTCCGATTCACCTCAATTTGTTCAACATTATCAACGATTTTAAGGCCAAACATTCAATAAATACCATCGAACAGCCACCGTATTCACCTGATCTTGCACCGTGTGACTTTTTCCTGTTTCCCAACCTCAAATTACCACTCAGAGGAACGCGTTTTGAATCCATAGAAGACGTAAAACAGAATTCGCAGAGGGAACTCAAAGCCATACCGGAAAGCGCCTATAAAAAATGTTTTGGATGATTGGAAGAAACGTTGGCATTTGTGTATCGCTTCTAATGGAGGCATATTTTTGAAGGAGATAAAATAAATATTGATGAAGATTAAGAATTTTGCGTTTTATTTAAAACTTTTCGGAAACTTTTCGGTCACAATGTATATCGTAATTTATTTTTGTAATTTTTTAATGTTAATTATTAATATTAATAATTATTATATATTATTATTATAATTATTATATATTATTATTATAATTATTATGTTATTATTATGTTATTATAATTATTTTGATTCAAATTTATTATGAGTATTTATAATTTTGACTATTTGTGTGTTGAAGTTTATAATTATTTGAAATTCAATCATACATAATTAAATATTTTTGAATATTATTTAATTAAATTAAATTACTTTAGATTTCAGTAACTTATAATGCAATGATTAATATGTGTTTTTGTAATTAATTTATAACTTGTTAATTTTTTAATTAAATTTAAAATAAATTATTTATTTATAAATATAATGGATATTTATAATAGTTGAAATTTTTATTAATCTATTCTTAGTGTTATTTACTATTACTATTAGTATTATTTAACTATTAAAATAATATTAAATAAATATTATTAGTCGTTAAATAAACACAACACTTCATTATTGATTTAAAAAAATTTTAGTCTTAAATGATGTTATATTTTATGTTATTTTCTATTTCTGTTATATTTATTTATAATGTTTATGTATGTAAAACACATATGATCAACTGTTTTAATTATTATATAGAAAATATTTTTTAGTTGTTAATGATATATTTACTTTGATTATTTCTAATTAACTAACCACACTTGAATTTAATTTTGTCTATTTAATTATTCGTAAATAATTTTTTTAAATTGCAAGTACAAAGGGTTGAACTTGTACCCTATCAAATTTGAAGCTAAGAGTCAGTGATCTACCATATGTAGCCAAGTTACCTATAACCATGCTTATTTGTATTGTTCTAGCTTGGCGTTTTGTTAATTTGCTATGAATAGTCATTAACAAATTTATTAACAAATATAACAAAGAAACTATAAACCAGATATAGAATAATTAAATTAATAAATTATTAATTTATTATTGTTAAATTTCAATATCATATTTTTTTGTTAGAATGTGGTTTCTTTCCTTGTAATTAATTAAAAAAGTCAAATTAAATTTATTTATTATTTAAAAATATGTTAGTATTATTTGTATTAATATTAAAAACTCTCATTTATGAATCATTTTTATATCTTTTCAATTATAACATTTCTTATAACATTTCTAACTACAGTTTATTTATTATATTTATAACGTCATTATGATTAAAGTTTAACTTTTATAATAAACAGTAAAGCATTTTTAATATTAAGTTTTATTTTTAATTGTATATTTTTTATTTATAGTTGCTATTAAATTACATTTTCAATTTAAATATTATTATGAAATTTTCGTTTTTTGTACCATTTTAAAATATAAAAAAATACATACACTTTCTGGAAGATCCAGTCTAAATCGTAGATCGCAAATAGCACACGGTATCATGGTACGCAATTTAAAGTATATTGTCTGCAACAACCTGAAACACAAAGATAATATTCTTCAGTAATATAAAGAGAGCGTTAGTAATTATATTAATGGATAAGTTAAATCAAGAAAGGTACAAAGAAAGGTATTCAATTTAGGTTGATGGTGAGAAATCATTAAGTTACTCACCGTTGAAATTGTTTTGGAAAACCATTGATATATTGTCCAACATCTAATTTGGCACGCCATACTTGTGTAAACATTTGTAAATTTTTAACTGCCTCCATATCAACCATTCCTGGCACACTCTGTGTATTAACCACATGAAATCCTTCTGGCGGATATGGCTCCATAAGAAGCGAAATAATTTCTAAGTCTTCTATATCATCAACTTCTAATACACAAGTATCTTTATTTCCACAATTCAAATCAATTTCAATAACTTCATCATCTGATTCATCCGTATCTGATTGCTTATCAGGTAAATTGTTCAGTGTACCGGCAGTTAAATCAGGATCCATTGATTTTAACTGATATATTTCCTGATTGCGTTCAAAAGTCTCCTGTAGTTTTTTTTGAAGTTCATTCAATTTCTGTTTATCGGTCCAAGAGTTTCCTGCAACTATTTTAGGTACTTGTGGTATTGGAAGTGCACTAAGAAACAAAGC